CCTCACTCCGGTTCCACCTTCCTCCGCCTCCTTGCCCTTCCTCCCCCTCATGCTCCGAGCTGCTCCCTCTGTTCTGGCTTTCCGGTGGCTGCAAACAATGTCCTTATTCACTCAGCGGCTGAGGGGAAGGCCCGGGTGCAGAGGAGAAGGAAGGAGGGAGGCAGGGAGGCCAGCATGCCTGTCCTGGGCCAGCCATCTAGCTGGGGCTGAAGGCACTCTGGGGCAGTCTGGCTCGCTGCTCGCCCGGTTTCCTACAGGAACGAGGGCTGTGCGCTCTTGTGGCTTGTCCACCTGCCCTCCTCTAGTGTCCTCTGAACCTGCAGCCAGTTTCAGCTCAGTTTATTGGGAATCAGCATCCTGCAAGCATCCCAGCATGATTGCTTTTGCCAGAAGAAGAGCCTTGAAGGATGCACAGCCCTTATTAGATATCAGAGAAGCTGCATGCACCTTAGTTCACCGTGAATGCAGTAAGGCTTTTCACAGCTCCTGCTCTTGTTTAAAACTGGATCTGCTTGGAGGATCATGGCACACCTCCCTGGCTTTGGTGAAGCTGCCAGGCTCCTTTGTGATCCCACTGGGTGTTGGGCAGGGGCTGGTGGGTGCTTGAGCCCCTGGGGAAGGGGTGCTGCAGGCTCTGCCCTGCTGGCTCTCCCCAGGAATACCACACAGGGACCTTGGCCATCCCTGGAGCAAGTGAAACCTTGGGGCATGTTGTGGGATTTTGCTGCCCCGCTGCTGGCCCCAGGGCCACCCACTGCTGGGGGCTTCAGAAATGAGGGGATGAGAGGAGGACAGGGCTCCAGGCAAAGCAGGGGTGTAATCCACAGCTATCATGGGCTCAGCAGCAACTACAGACTTAGCCCTTTCATTTGGGGAAGGACAGTGGTGAGGCCAGCTTGAGACAAGCCATGGAGACATCTTGCCTGCAGATTTCTCCCTGTCTGGCAGGTCTTGGATAGGTGTAAGCTCCTTCCTACATCCCAGTGCCCCCCTGTGTGTTGGGGACTTGCCTGGCTGGCTAAGCTGGACCTATGTGTGCAACACAGCTGACAAATGTGGTGCTGCAGCCCTGTAATGACTCTTGGATGAGGAGCCCAGGTGCCCTGAATGCCCTGGGAGGTGCAGCAAGGTGTACAAGGGGGTGAGGGTGGTTGCACCAGTGGTTTCCTCCCAGCAAGTGCTGGGCGGATAGGGATGGTCAGCATCCTTTTCCTGGCCTGATCCCACAGGGCATTATGTGTGCATCCTCCCTGGAAAAAGATATTTCATCTCTTGCATTGCTTCCTGCAGTGATGTCTCTCCAGGTAGCATTTCTTTCCCAGTGCTTGACCTCAGTACCCCAAACCCACCCAGATTGCCATGATTGCTGTGCTCCTGCCCAGTGAGCAAAGGATAACCTGTGCTTGTTTCTCCTTCCACCTTCAGCAGTCCTGCTCCTGCAGAGGAGTTGATCCCCACAGTGTGTTTGCAGAGGACCCCACTAACCTTTTTTTAGGGCTCAGCTTTCTCCCCACCCTGCCCTTTATTTTGTTCCATGTGGAAGGTGTTGCTGGTGTTCAGCAACTAACCCCATCTTGCTGTGGCCTACAGAGTTGGGGTGGACCAAGCACTTTCCCCAGCCACAGATTAACTTATTAATTAATGAGATGAGTTCACTCTCAGCTGGTGTTGGAATACAGAGCACTTTTGGCATCTGTTTCACAAACTGGTGACATGTCTCAGAAAAGACAAACTGGGATCGTGGAGTTGCTCGGAGCCCGGGACAGGCGCCTGTATGCAGGGAGCGGTAATTCTCCCAGTATCAAGGTCATGCATGAAATATGAGAAATTACCCTGAGAAATTCTGATTCTGGAAGAGGAGGAGGAGTTCATGACTTCAGAAATACCAGATTTGGGAGGGGATGGCAGGGGAAGGGATATATTTTCCTTTTCAAAACACCTAAGGAATTCAGCCCGTGCTGTGGAGACAATGAGATTTCACCCCTTGGTGCCAGAAGGAGTAGTTCATACCAATGTGTCGTGTTAAGGTTTCGGTTGCTGGGGCTGAAAAGCCCTCCCATCCTGCTCTAGTCCCAGGCATGAATGATTTTTAAATCACCCTAAAATCAAGAGGGTGTCTCAAATGTGAGCTTTAAAGAAAATGCTGCATGTCTTCTATTCTCTCTGATTTGTATGGCTTTAGGTTGGATTTTAGTTACTTTTTCCAGCTGTGAGTGGCTATTAAATTAGCTTATGTATATATTTGTGATTTCACATAATTGTATGATTGCAGGAGTGGAGCACCCTGGGGTTTGTTACACAACACAAAGGCTGGCAGCTCTGCCAGGGCAGCTGCAGGGTGGTGGGAAGGGGATGATGGTACGTGCGTGTCTGGGGCTTTTTGGTCCATCCCTCAGGAGTCTCTCACACCAGCGGGGCTGGTAGGGTGGCCTCTGCCTGCCTGGTGTCTGACAGTGCTGGGAAGCCCTGCTTTCCCCCTTTAGAACATTCCAGCAGCACTTTGGTGGGGAGAGCCTGGGCTATTTCAGGGTGGCTCCACGTTGGGCACCTGATACATACGGGGAGCAGGATGGGGATTTGGCCTCTGTGCTTTTCAGGTTGTGAATCCTGGATCTCATCCCATGTTTTTCCCTAGAGCTGCCCCAGCTGGCAGCTGGGGGAGGCAGGCAGGGGACCCAACTTCTCATGGGGGCCCCAGCGAGGGAGGAGCAGGGAAGGGTTTGGTGCAAAGGTTGACTATGTCTTTTGGCTCTCCAGCTTGGAGAGCAAGAAACTCAGCCTGTGTTGCAAGACCTGCCCCAGGTCCTGGGCTTGATGGGCCTCCTGCAAGCAGGGATGCAGACGGCATCTCCTTCCCTGGATCAGGTGGCTTTTGTGTCAGTTAAGTGTGATTTCAGTGGGGAAATTCCAGCTTGTGGATGCTGAGGCAGGACCCAGAGCTGGGTGTGCTGCGCTCCCCGCCAAGCCTGCACAGAGGGATGTTGCAAACCGTGTTTTCAGCCAGCAGTGCTTGGGAGCAGGTTGTGTTGACATGCACCTGCCTGTGCCACTGCCAGAGCAGGTTGCTCCCTCTCTGCCCAGCTGCTTGGGGCCGCTGGTCTCCCCCCCACAGCTCTGCCCAGTGCTGGACCTCAGACCCTGACTGAGCCTCCAGAAAAGCCACCAGCAGCCCCAAGCCCTGGCACAGCTGCCAACACAGGATCTGGGATGAAGTTCCTGCCTGCACCCTTGGTTCTCTCTGAGTAAGCAGTGTCCCACCTGCTCTCTGGACCTCAGTTCCCATCATCGTATTTAACCCAGGATAAGGTTGAAGTCTCCCAGCACCACAGCAATGCAAATTACAACCATTTTATGATGGAAAAAAAAGAGGGTTTTAATGTATGCATCAAATCTTTCTCTGTGTGGATGCTCCCACCTGTTCAGCTGGTCTTAAAAACAGCAGCAGCGATGCCCTTGGATGCTTGCAGGCCTGTGTTCAGGCCTGTGTTTCTGTGTTCACACAGCAGCAGACATCCCTATGCCTGGGGATCCATGTCACTGCCCCTCAGCCCCTGTTCAGTGGTTGTGCTGTCTGTCTGTGCATGGGTGGGTGCATGCACGTAGGCAGTGGGCACGCGTGTGGAGTGCGACTGTGAGTGGGAAGTTGTGGGGGTTTTTTTAGCTTCTTGTTGTTATTGGTGGTAGGAGTCCCAGCAGCAGTGAGGCTTGGAGGTACCTGAGACCTCAAGAAAAACAACAGGATGCCCTTGGATGCTTGCAGGCCTGTGTTCAGGCCTGTGTTTCTGTGTTCACACAGCAGCAGACATCCCCTATGCCTGGGGATCCATGTCACTGCCCCTCAGCCCCTGTTCAGTGGTTGTGCTGTCTGTCTGTGCATGGGTGGGTGCATGCACGTAGGCAGTGGGCACGCGTGTGGAGTGCGACTGTGAGTGGGAAGTTGTGGGGGTTTTTTTAGCTTCTTGTTGTTATTAGTGGTAGGAGTCCCAGCAGCAGTGAGGCTTGGAGGTACCTGAGACCTCAAGAAAAACAACAGGAGGGAGGAGGCTTCGCATTCCTGATCCTGAACTGAGTCGGAGGTGACAGCCTTTCCCTGCAATGCAATTAATCCCAGCTGTGCCTCTGCCACCCTCCCCCTCCTGCCTCATCCAGGAATTAATTACTTGATTATAAATCCCCAAGTGGCGGTCTGTAATGGCAATAATCCCCTTGAAATTCATCCTCACTGCTGGTTTCTTCCCATCTCGCTCCCATCATTGAGAGTCTCTAATGCTGTGTCTCCATGCCAGGTGAAGCCATTCTCCATGCCCCACCGGTGTGGCAGCTTTCCCCTGGGAAAAATTTTTGCTGAGAGGAAAAATTAGTAGTTGATTTTGAGGGGTGTTTTGAGAAGCTCTGCCCCTGCTCACAGGGACAGAGCCCTTCTCTCATGGATAGTGGGTTTCCTCCTGGTTGGGGAAGCGTGCAGGAGTGATTGCTGGGGATCACCTTGTGTCCCAGTGATTAGGCTGATGGCCCAGGCCCAGCCTTGAGGAGTGGGGGCTGGGGGCTGGCAGCATGGCAGGGGGGGCCCTGCTCCTCCTCTTTCTGTCCCTCTCAATTACACTGACACTGGCTCTGGGGCTTGTCACAGAGGCTGGGAAAGGATTTGGCATGGCACAGGGGGGTAGTGGTGTCTTATGAGGAGCTACTGGTGTTGGGACCTGAAAAGGTACTGCCATAATGGGAGATGAACTTCTCCATGTCTTCCTCATGTCTTGGCAAGGGGCTGCTCCTATCCAGGGGACCCAAATCAAGGTCCCCAGCTGATCAGGCAGCCCAGCACACCTGACCCCTCCACCTCCACCAGCCACGTGTGGGTTTTCAGCTTGGTGATGGCATCCCACTGGGAAAAAGCCTTTTTCCTTCCAAACTGAATGGGCAGAGCTGGTGCTGGCAGCACCAAAGCTTCCCAGCACTTGTGGCCACCAGGCTCTAACGGCTGCTTTTCTCTCCCATCTCTGCAGAAGATGCTGATGAAGCAGCAGGACCGCCTGGAGGAGCGGGAGCAAGACATCGAAGAGCAGCTCTACAAGCTGGAATCAGACAAGCGTCTGGTCGAGGTAATTGGTGCTTTACCATCCTGTGGCCAGATCCAGGGGCTGTCACCCCATGGGGTGGTGGGGACAGGCTCCCAGGGTGTAGGGGCCAGGTAGACAGGGAGGACACTCAGGAGAAGAGTAAGTGGCCAGCTGGATCTACTGTCCCCATTCCTGTTCTGGGAGTTATACTTTTGGGAGATTAAATGTGTTTGGGGCTGCCCTATAACCTTGTGGGTCCTGGGGTGAGTTGGGAGTCAAGGAATGAGGCTGTCCTTAAATATTTGGTGCCCCTCACCGCCCCCCCCAACTCTTCCCCACCTTAGCACAGCCTTCCCCAGGCCACCCACTTCATCCTGACTGGGAGGAGAGGGCCTGGAGATGGGAGATCCCCAAATAAATGGCTGTTGGGTCTCCAGCATGTAAGAGTCCCACGCAGCAGCTGAACACAGGGTTTGGTCTGCGTGGGTATTGCAGGAGAGCAGAGCTGTGGTGCAGCTCTTGGGTCTCACCCACTCCTGCTGGGGAAAGAACCCAGATGTCCTGCAGCACCGCAGTGGAGGTTGGAGGGCGCAGAGGGGCTCACCCTGCTTCTCTCTCCCAGGAGAAGGTGAGCCAGCTGAAGGATGAGGTGCGCCTGCAGTATGAGAAGATGCACCAGATCTTGGACGAGGACTTGCGAAAGACCATGGAGATCCTGGACAAGGCCCAGGCCAAGTTCTGCAATGAGAATGCAGCCCAGGTCCTCCACCTCAATGAGCGCATGCAAGAGGCCAAGAAGCTACTCAGCTCTGTCCAGGTCATGTTTGACAAAACTGAGGACATCAACTTTATGAAGGTGAGATGAGCTGCCCATGCTGGGGATAGGAGGGGACCAGTGGGAGGTCTGGTTCTGCAGGGAGTGCTGTGGAGCAGGGACTTGCTGGTGCCTCTGCAGGGCTCAGCAGCGAGGGAAGGTGAGGAGCAGCAGGGCAGGCTCAGCACTAGCCTCGTACGAGGAGATGCTGCAGCTAGTAGATGGGCTGGGGCAGCCTGTGTCAGGGCTCAGCACTGCTGGGAAGCTGGTTCCTTCCTGGGGGTGCTGCAGGAGGTGACACCAAAAAGGGTGGTGGTGACTGCGGCAGGTGACTGTCTTTACTGACCAGGGCTTCTTTTTCCCCTCCTAGAACACCAAGTCTGTGAAAATCTTAATGGACAGGTAAGTGTGGCAGGGCAAGGCATGTTTGGGGGGGAAGGGCGACTGTTATGAGGGTGGCAGCAGCTTGACTTCCTAAGGAGAAGCAGGTCGGGGGATTTTTCAGGGCCTGGGAAAGGCGTTCTCTGTGCCTCTGTTTCTCTCTGCATCTGGGAGGATGAAAAATCACCTCCCGGGGGCATTAAATCAAGTCCTCCCCTTGGATCAGAGGAAACATAGTGGCATGTTTGTGGATGAGCAGAGCTGGAAGCCAGCACCCCAGCCAGGATTGGACCAGCCAGTTTGGGGCACAGGACTCAGTCCAGCTCTGCTGTCCTTCTCCTTCCTGCAGGGCTTGGGGTTAAAGCCAGCACTGCCAGAGCCAGGGCAAGCTGGGGTGGCAATGCAGGGGGGATACAGGGGCTGTGGGAGGTGCGTGTTGGCACTGAGCAGTCATTGCAAGGCTGGATGGGGAAGTGTGGAGAATGGCCCGGAAGGTCCTGCTGGGAAGGAACTGGCCAGCTGGCCCTGCCCTGCCCTCGGCACTGTCTCCCTGGGTAACGGGCTCAGCCCTATGGTGGTGCCGGTGAAGAAGCAAGGGGGCTTCCTGACCCTCCCCTGAGAATGCTTCAGCCCTCACACCTCTCCTCTCTGCCTGCGGTCTCCAACAGGACCCAGAACTGCACAGGTGGCAGCCTGCCCCCACCCAAAATCGGCCACCTCAACTCCAAGCTCTTCCTGAACGAGATCGCCAAGAAGGAGAAGCAGCTCAGGAAGTTGCTGGAAGGTGGGTGAAGGTTGAGGGGTGGTGAGGGGGTGGTACAGGACCTCACTACCTCATGTATCCATAGCAGATCCCAGTAGAAGGGGGTGGGTAGAGCAGTCGGGGTGCAGGGACCACTGGGAACCCCTCTGCAGGGGCATGGAGGTGCTGTGGAGCCAGCTCCTGGCTCTCCCTGGGACATTTGTCTTGGCTTGTGAAGTGGCTGTGTTTTTGGGGTGGCACAGCACAGTTTTTTGGGATGGGCGTCAGCATGTGGGCAGGGATAGCCAGGGACCTGTGTGGTCTCACAGCCCCCAGCTCGTGCCCGGGAGCAGACCATGTCCTGCGGAGGCTTCCCAGTCCTCTTTCCTTGGGGGTTTGGTGTTTGTCACCCAAGCTGTCCTGCTCTGATCCTGTTACAGACCATGGTCGTGAGTTGTGCATGGGCTCAGCCTGCACACGTTTGCAGAGCAGCACTTGGGGCTGCTCCGAGCCTGCTGGCAAGGTCCTGAAACAGCACCTGCAGATTCACCTGCTTATGGCTCTGTGACCAGTTCACTGCTGGTGGGACAGGCTGCGTCTTGGGGCTTCGTGGCCGGTTCTGACCAGCGGCCGGAGCACTGCAGGGTTTTGCCGTGCTGTGCCTGATGCAGTCCCCCTCTCCTGTTCCCCTCCGCAGGTCCTCTGAGCACCCCCGTCCCCTTCCTGCAGAGCATCCCCATGTACCCCTGCACCATCAGCAACTCCGGCGCGGAGAAGCGCAAGCACTCCACCGCCTTCCCCGAGGGCAGCTTCCTCGAGCCATCGTCCGGGACTGTGGCAAGCCAGTACATGAGCCAGGGCGCTTCGGCTGGCGAGGGGCAGTCCGCACAAGCCATGGTGCCTTGTAGCTCCACACAGCACATAGTTGGACTTCCCAGCGGCCCGCAGCCGGTGCACTCGGGCTCCGTCTTCAACCCATCTCACTACCCCAACACCACGTCATCTCAGCAGTCCGTGCTCTCCCAGTACGGTGGGCGCAAAATCCTCGTCTGCTCTGTGGATAACTGTTACTGTTCCTCCGTGTCCAACCACAGCGGGCACCAGCCCTACCCGCGGTCGGGGCACTTCCCCTGGACGGTCTCCTCGCAGGAGTACTCGCACCCGCTGCCACCCGCCCCTGCCGTCCCCCAGTCGCTCCCGGGACTTGCCGTGAGGGAATGGATTGATGCATCCCAGCAGCACGGGCGGCAGGATTTCTATAGGGTCTATGGCCAACCGTCGGCGAAACACTACGTCACCAGTTAACCATCACACTCTCCAGAGAGTCCCATTTGAGGACACGTTCAGAGAGGAAAGTCTGGTTTGGTTTGGCTTTTCTATTTTATTATTTTTTTCCCCCTTTTAAATCAAACCCAATTTTTTCCCTGCCTCGCAGCCCTCCAGGATTTTGGGGAGGGTTGTTCTCTCATCTCTCTCTCTCTCTTTTTTTTTTTCTACCCTCTCAAAATGAGATTTTTTTTTTTTCTTTTAATTCTTTTTTTTTTAATTTAATTTTTGGAAAGACCTTCCTGCCCCTTGCTTGGAAAAGTCGAGGGAGAAATTCTTACTGAGAAGAAATTGATGGGGATTT